GACTCTATCAATTTTATCTAATGCCGCCTTATTACAAGGTTCTAAGAAGGGAGTACCATAGTCAAAGTGGCTACGCACTATGGCGTTGTATAGAATTTTTTGTGTCATAGGATGGGCTCCCCACCATACACCTGATAGCGCCCGTAGCACGTTCACATTGCGTTCTGTTTTCTTTAGGATTTGATCGATATGCGGGTTGCCTGTAAGTCTAGAGTCCAAAACTACCCCTAGGAATTTGACCTGATTTTGTAAAAGAATTAGGCTTCCATTGTACATCAGATTAGGATCGGGAATAAAACGTTTTTTTGTGAAAACGACAGCGCTACATTTCTGTACTGAGAGTGATAAACCATGATTTCCCAGCCAGTCTCCTAGATAAAACAGCGCTCGGTTAAGGCGGGATGTAGCTTCTGGGATAGATTTGACGCTTATATACAGAGCTACGTCGTCGGCGTATTGTAAAACCTCACAGAAAGGCTTCACTGTACTTTCTAGATCGTGGGTATATATGCTGTACAATAAAGGACTAAGTACAGAGCCTTGTGGTAGTCCGTTCCATATGGTTCTGGGAGGAAGGGAAACATTTTGAAATCTAATGGAGATTGATCTAGAAGAGATAGTATTGCAGATGATGCGTACCAATTTCGCAGGGATACTCAGCTGTTGCAACTTTTGCCTGAGTATTGGAACTGGACGTTGTCATATGCCGATGCTATGTCTAGAAAAATTGCTACCATGTACTCTTTGTTTTTGAATGCCAGACGGATGTCTGTTGTAAGGGTTGCTAGGCTGTCATATGTACTGTATCCTTTTCTAAACCCGAATTGGGATTTGGCGATGATATTCTGGCTTTCCACTATCCATTCTAGTCTATTTCTGATAATATGTTCCATAATTTTAAGGAGAGCTGACGAAAGAGCGATGGGTCGATATGAGGCGTGTTCAGAGGGATTCTTCCCAGGCTTGAGGATAGGGATTATAATTTGATTCTTCCAAGACTCTGGTATAATGCCGTGCTCATAGAAAAAGTTGATCAAAGATAAGAAAAGGTGTTTTGTTTTATCTGGAGCTCTAATTAAAAATGAATATGGGATGCCATCAGCGCCTGGAGAGGTGTCTTTTAAGCCTTGAAGTGCTCTATGTAGTTCTTCGAATGTAAAAGGCCCATCTAGGTCTCCATTAGTGGGAGTCATGGAGTTGATTTCTACAGGAAAGCAATCAATGTAAGGAACATAAGGGGGAGCTAATTTATCTGCGAACGTTTCTAGCCAGTTCGAGGAGTCATTTGAACTGCTGTTGGGTGAATTTAGGGAACCGCGAAATCTCTTAATCTGTTTCCAGACCAAGGAAGAGGGGGTTCCTGGTGATAGAGACTCACAGAATTTGAGCCATCCTTCTTTTTTTTTTGATTAAGTATTTTTCTAGTTTTGGCTGCTGTTTTTTGATAGGCCAAGTAGTTTTCCATAGACATTGTACTATTGTATTTTTTCTCCGCTTTTTTACGCTCCGCAATAGCTTCCGTACAGTCAGAATTCCACCAGGGGGGATATATTTTTCTATTTGGAGAGTTCTTTTTTAGAGGAATATGTGAATGTGCAGCAGAGAGCAGTGATGTGACAAAGTCATTATATATATTAAAGCAGTTTTCAACGTTAATTAGAGGGAGGTTATCTTTATCATCCAAAGCCGAAGAATAGGACGACCAATCTGCCTTATTGAGTTTGAATTTTAATAAAGGTGGAAGTCGTATGGGCGAAGATAATTTGTCTAACAAAGTTAATAAAATAATAAAATGATCACTTCCGTAAGTACTATTGAGGGTGCACCATGATATATTGGAAGCTAGAAAAGGGGAGCAGATTGATAAGTCGACCGCAGAGGGGTTTTGATCAGGACGGGCCCTTCTTGTGGGGCTGCCATCATTGAGAAGACATAAATTTTCTTCATCAAGGATATCTAGTAATAGTGAGCCACAATGGTCATTGTGTGAAGATCCCCAGGAAACATGATGGGTATTAAAATCACCCATTACAAGCACAGGGGGAGGAAGTGATCTAATAATGTTTTTTAATTCTTCCATTAAAGTATGGTTTGGATAAGGGATATATATTGATACACAAGATATATTAAAAATCCTTGCAGCAACAGCGTTTATGTCCTGGCTGTGAGGGGGTAAGTGAAGTTGATAGAATGTTAGAGAGCTAGCTATGAGAAGACTGCAGCCACCACCTAAGTCATCCCTGTCATCCCGAAGACAGCTGTACCCGGGCACATTAAACAGAGTCCCAGGTTTCAACCATGTCTCCGTAATGGCGAGGATGGACGGATGGAATTCATTAATAATGGAAAATAGGTCATGTTTTTTAGGTCGTAGGCTTCTACTGTTCCATTGCACAATCTTGGCCATTATTTATATTATTTTGTATAAATTTATTAAGTTCACTAAGTCTTGAGGCAACGTTGGGCGGTATGGGTACATCATCAAATCTGTTGAGTAAGTTGAAAAGTACAGACCAAAGAATTTCTAGCAGATTGTCATTAGGGGATATGTCAATGGAACTAGAAGAATTATTCAAAGCGCATCCGTTGGGCGTAGTAACTCCATTATTATTAATGATGTTTTGATGGGCTTGTTTGTCATAGCCTTTACTCAAATTTTGTTTGGGTCTTGGTTCCTGGGAGACAGTTTTCCTGTAGGAAATCTGAGATTTTTGAGGCGATTCTTGATATACGTGGATATTTGGTTGGGTGGTTATAGGGGTCTGTGCAATGTCGGAATATAACCTCCTGACAGGAGGAAAGTTTGCAGCTGCCTCTTGGTATGAGACATTGTTTTGGGACATAGCGAGTTTAATAGCCTTTTAGCGTGATTGTTCAGGACATAATTTATTGTTAGCAAAGTGTCTAGAAGAGCAATATAAACATGTTGCATCTTTTTCAAGTATCTCACAGCTTTCTCCACGGTGAGGTTGAGCACATCGGAAACATCTTGGTTTAGATCGACATTGAGTGCTGATATGTCCAAACCTGCAGCAGTTAAGGCACTGAATAGTTGGAAGTTGATACGGTTCGACTGGCATTGATGTGTGGAAAATATATAGTTTTGGGGGCAGAACTTGACCTTGAAATGTGAAGACCACTGTGCGAGTAGGAAGCCATGATGTCTGATCCTCAGAAACATTTTTCCTGCTGAGACGTCTTGCTTTTAACACTGGGCCGCAGCCAACGGGGACAATGAGAGACTCAACTAATTCTTCCATAGACAAATCTGTAGGGATGCCTTTAACAATACCCATGCGGGTAATATTGTAATTTGGTATAATTGCTGAATATTTGTGAAGTGTGAGACAACCGTTATCAATAAATTTATTTGCATCTAAGCCGGTCTTAAATTCAATAGCAATTCTATTCCGACCTATTCTTTTTACACCATCATTGGTAATGTTTTTAATTTTATTTTTGACAAGGAACTGCCCAAATTTGATGGGATGAATCGAGGTACCAGGTGAAGGATCTGTTTCTAGTTTGGAAACATGAACAATAAAAGGACCTTTATCTGACATTAAATATTGTTTTGTTTGAGAGTTTGATAAAGATGGGTGTGTATATAAATTTGGAGAAGACGAAATAGTCTGTGACTGACTGAGTTCCAGTATAGTTCTTTTGATTGGAGCATCTGTCTGTTCGTTAGTCATGTTCCGTCTTTTAGTGCCTAACTGGGTTTGAGTAAATATTGAGGGAGACAATTCCGCAGGTACAGGCGTGGGTGCCCTGTCCGGAGGATCCGGAGGGTCAGGAGGGATCCTTTCCATTGATTACTCTCTGCAATCAATGGAAAGGATGCAAAGTTAATTTATAAGTTACTTACCAGCACCAACAAAAAACAACTATCACTACAGGTGTTTCTAATTAATGTTTACACTTTACAGTAATACTACGTAGAAAGGATAGAGAAAGGAAATTATAAAACGAAAGCCAAAAATCACGTGTAGTAACCGTACACTAGCGAGTTCGCAACCAGATCGAACTCAACATGAGTAATGTTTCTGAACGAAACAAAAAGTTTAGCTGTCAGTGTCTTCTTCTTCTTCTTCTTTTATTAATGGCTTATCTGCGCATTTCACACAATTCTGCCAATGTCAAGTGAATAAATTTATTTCTACATGTAAAATGAAAATGAAACGAATGAAAGATGGCGATGATCTGTCAGTGTCTGTTGTAAAATGTCATTACAAAAAGTGCGTAGGCTTGTGTATTGTTGCATGGCGATTTCGAATAGTTTAGATGAAAAAAAAAAGATAGTTACTGTTTATAAATAAAGTAATTTTTATTTGATGGATTAGACGTAAATATTAAGATTTATCAAAATCAAAATCATTTATTCAGTCTAGGCTGTTACAAGCACTTGTGAAAGTCGAGAGCTACGCCAACGGTTCGTAAATCTACGGCGGGAGACCTTGTACCGAGAAGAACCGGCAAGAAACTCGGCAAGGGCTGCTTTTTTCTCCCTGTTTTATTTCATACAGAGCGTCAAGATTGAAAAATGACTTCATTAAAATTTGAAGTCACTTTCAATTACAATATTACACAATATTAAGAGTAAAACAGTATTTTCGTCAATCCAATCACATTTGTAGCCAAAGAAGCTCACCGATTAACAATTTAATATATATGAAAAATGAGCCATATTTAACTCCAAATAGTTTTGTCGTTTAAATATTCATTAATAGTATAATATCCTTTACTGAGTAGACAATTCCTAATATGGGTTTTAAACTTAGGTAATGGTAAATTTTAAATTTCCATAGGAATTTTGTTATAGCAGTGTACACCTTGACCCATAAATGACGATAGAACCTTCTTTAGCCTGCATGACGGCAAAACAAGTTATTATTTTCAACAAGTGTTTATTATTTATATTATTATTTTCGTTCTTACATAGTAAAATATTCAGAATAAAACCCAAAATAGTGTTGATGTAAATTTACATCAACATGCAATCATGGTTTTTGAGATTCTATAGGAGCTATGAATAACTATTTTGACTAAAGTTTTGTTTTGTTGTCTGTTTTAGGTGCTGATATTTGTCACAATGAATGACAAAGATATTGAAAAATATTTAGCATTACTTGAAGATGGGTGGCTGTCGAATGATGATTTGGAGGTGTCCGACCAAGAGGAGGAAAATGTTCTTGAAAACCACAATAGAGAACAAGTACTAGATATGTTACAAAGTGATGAGGAGGACACAGAAAGTCCACAAAATCCTGAAAGTGACCCTCCCATAATAGAAAGTGAAGAAATAAACATCCAGGTGCAAAGCATGAGGGTTCCTACTGGACATATGTTTCCAGGATTGCTAGACAAACGAAAATTGGTCTGGAAAAAATCAAATATGAAGTTTGATGAATCCAAAATCACTTTTCAAGGTAATTGTGATTTAGGACCTGAGATTTTACATTTGGATTCCCCATACACATGCTTCAGTTACTTTTTTACTGAAGATTTTATGAAAAGCATAGTAGAAGAAACAAACCTATATGCGACACAACAAAATCCTCAAAAATCTACAGCGTACAACATATCAGATTTGCGAAAATTTTTTGGAGTGCTTATACAACGTGTCCCAAAATTCAACGATAAGCGGGCGCCAAGAGGTAGACCTGCTCATGTTTACTTATGGAAAAATAAGAAAAAAATTATATCTTATTAATCTTTTTTATTATAAAATAAAATTCGAAAATTTACACCTTTTATGATATTTTCAACTACCACGACCACAACATCTCAATTATGTTCAATCTTTTTTTGGTATCGGATACCTAAGTAGCACTACTATTTGCTACAACTGTTAAAAACACCTAAATGCCCACAGTATTTACACAAAAAACAATCAAAATGTATTTTTTTCCTTAAATTTTCACAGATTTTTACGTTCCGTAATCTTTGACTCACAGTCATGTAGAAAAAAAGTATGGACACTACTGCGGCAAGTTGTTTTTAAAATTGACGCAGCTCATGAAGATTCCATAATGGTATAATACTTCATGATAACTAGCGACAAACTAAAAATCATACCATTTAGAGTCAAGAACCAAAGTTGTGAGTAATAAATTGTACTGTTCCGAAATGTTTTAATATTTAAAAAAAATATTGAAATAAAACAATAGTGAGTTTTAGTCTCATTCATTTATTAATAATTAACATCACTGTAAATGTTCAAATTGTTTTCCACCGGCATTAATACATGCACGACATCGCCTTAAAAAAGAGCGTTTTATTTTTCGTGCATACCTTTTAGCATTGATATGTGACGCAGCCTGACTAATTTTTTGCCGAAGCTCGTCCAATGTCGTAATGGGTTTTTCATAGATTTTGTCTTTGAGACAACCCCAATAGAAAAAGTCCAGGGAGTTTAGGTCGGGTGATCGGGGTGGCCATAAGATAGGACCAAGTCGCCCAATCCAACGCCCGGAATACTCTTGGTCCAAGTATTGTCTCACAGGACGAGCGTAATGAGCTGGGCAACCATCATTTTGAAACCACATATTTTGTAAATCTCTTAAGGGGACGTCTTCAAGCAATTCTGGCAAATCATTTTGTAAAAAGTTCAAATAACTGTCACCATCCAAGTTTCCTTGTAGTTCAAAAGGCCCGATCACTTTTCCATTTAATATGCCCGTCCATAGGTTAACCTTAAACTGATATTGGGATTTTTCCTGTCTCATTAGGTGTGGATTTTCATTGCTCCAGCTGTGTAGGTTGTGGAGGTTTAAATATTCATCTTTCTTGCATGTTGTTTCGTCCGACCATAGTACTTTGTCCAAGAATTGAGGATCTTCCCGGTGCTTTTGAAGCATAATACGGCAAAATGTGATCCGTAGTGGATAGTCCCGTGGTAGCAATGTTTGCACACGTCTGTAGTGGTATGGGTGAAGCCTGTGACGTTTTAAAATTCGATGAGCCGTACTTTTTGGGATTCCCGTAGCTGCTTCTATGGCGCGTACTGAAGTAGTTGAGTCAATGTTTATTTCATTGAGAACTTCTTCATCGTATTCCGATCTAGGTCTTCCAGCGTTGCTTCTGGCTGATGGCAAACGACCCTCCGAGAACGCTCGATGCACATTCATAAATACTCGGTAATCTGGGTATCTTTGGGCGTTCGGGTACCTTTCCCGATACAATCTGCTAGCAGCGTTAGCATTGCACCGACATTCTCCATAAATGAGGTGCATATTAGCGTATTCCATCGGCGTGTATGGTAGCGGCATGATAACGCTAAACAATCCAAAATACGACGAAAGTCCAATTCACAAAACACTATCACAGTCCAAATTAATGCCAGGTTAGTTCAGTTTGCAGATCACTTAATTCCAGTCCAAAATAGAAAGCCAAAAGTCGTTAGTACGAGAGCCACGTCAATTGAATACAGAAAGGTGCGCAGTAAACAAAGGAGCAGAACGTACTGATCCGACTTCAGATTTGCTGAGAACAGGATTTCTCTATGTACCTGCATTGTTGTTATTCTACAAAAAATATCTATCTATCCCTCTCTAACATACCCTTCTCGCTATCTGTTGAGTCAACTATAAGTTGAGCCATTACAAACGTGCGAACTGAGTTAGAAAAACAAATTACGTCAAAGGAATGTGACAATGCCGCAGAACTCGTTTTCGATAAAGGGATGCAGCCGCTCGGGTGCAGGTAGCTGGTAGAATTGGTAATTTGGTATACATAGACACAAGTAAAGGGCGAAGTGGCATGAAAAACAATACTTTCAAAATAGCAGAAATAGAGCATTACCTAATAAATAAATATCTAATGAATATTTATAATTTGGTTCGTTTGTTTACAAATGGTGTGCATATTTTTTTACTGTGACTAGTTATCTTAGATTATTATACCATTTTGGAATCTTGATGAGTTCAGTCAATTTTAAAAACAACTTGCCACAGTGGTGTCGATACTTTTTTTTTACAAGACCGTAAGTCAAAGATTACGGAACGTAAAATCTGTAAAAATTTAAGGAAAAAATACATTTTCATTGTTTTTTGTGTAAAAACTGCGGGCATTTTGGTGTTTTTAAGAGTTGTAGCGAATAGTAGTGCTACTTAGGTATCCGATACCAAAAAAAGATTGAACATAATTGAGAAGTTGTGGTCGTGGTAGTTGAAAATATCATAAAAGGTGTAAATTTTCGAAGATTTTCGGATTTAATTTTATAATAAAAAAGATTAATAAGATATAATTTTTTTCTTATTTTTCCATAAGTACACATAAGCAGGTCTACCTCTTGGCGCCCGCTTATCGTTGAATTTTGGGACACGTTGTATATATGTCAGTCCAGCATTTTCCCAGTACTAGATCATACTGGTCTCCAAAGTATGGCTACGAACCAATATATTCTATTATGACAAATAACAGGTTTGAGGAAATAAAAAAACATTACATTTCAACAACAACGACAACCACAAGGCAATTGGTGAGCCAGGCCATGATCGACTATTCAAGATACGTCCCGTTATTGATGAATTAAATAGTAAATTTTCATCAATTGCTATGGAACAACGTTTGTCTATAGATGAACAAATGTGTGCAACCAAAGTGGCGGCGCACTTCCTCAAACAGTACTTACCCAACAAACCACATAAATGGGGTTTCAAATTGTTTGTTTTAAGTAGTCTACAAGGATTTGCATATCAATTTGAGCTATATGCTGGCCAGGATCTCTCAAATAAACCTGATAATGAACCAGACTTGGGCGCCACTAGCAATGTTGTCCTTCGCTTAGCTCGAAGTGTACCGAGACATGTCAATCATATTATTTACTACGACAATTTTTATACAGCTGTGCCATTAGTGTACTATTTGACAACTCAAGGAATACATTCAGTAGGTACAGTTCAACAAAACAGAATACCTAATTCAAAATTACCTGACAAGAAACAACTGATGCGTACATCTACCCCAAGAGGTTTCCATGAAGAAAGAATGACTACATTTCAAGGTGTGGATATGAGTGTAGTAACTTGGAAAGACAATAAGGTTGTCACATTACTCTCGTACTATGTTGGAGCTTTACCGTTGAATAATGTATCTAGATATGACAAGAAAATAAAAGAAAAAATACAGATTCCATGCCCTAAAATTATAAGTGATATAATGCCCACATGGGCGGGGTTGACCTTATGGATAGTTTTCTTGGAAGGTATAGTATTCTGTACCTTCCAAGATCTCAAATCAAGAAAATGGTACATTCGTATTTTCTTTCACCTTTTAGATCTGGCAGTAATAAATGCGTGGATAATACATAAAAAAAATTTAACTGCCAAAAATGTACCTAAAAAAGATATCCCCAATTTAGGTGCATTTAGAAATGAACTGGCTTACACACTATGTAATATAGGAGTAGCCTATGAAAATAAAAGAGGTCGGCCAAGTTCTAATGTTCTAGAAAACGAGATACAAGCAAAGAAGAACAGAAGTGCTGTAGCAATTGCCCCACCAAAAGATGTTCGCAGAGATGGGCAAAGTCATTTCTCTCGGCCTCTCGTTGGTGGATCCCTGCGGTGTAAATACCCGCACTGTAAAGGTTATTCTACTATACATTGTTCAAAATGTAATGTTAATCTTTGCCTCAATAAAAGCAATAATTGTTTTTATGAATACCACAACAACTAAATATAAATAATCCAATGGACATTTGTACCTGTAAGGTTACTACTGATTACATAAAGATGTAAATTTCTATCAACCCATTTTTACCGAAAATATAGTATTTCTATGATTAAATATTTTTTTTATTATTTTTCCCTAGTTATAAGGCTAATCCCACACCTAAAAATAAATAGTTAGCTTAAAAAGCAATAATCATGCATTTAAGGGTTAAATAACGCTGTTGTTATCTCACCCCGATAGTATCGCACCACTTATCTTAATGACAGATGCTTCGGAAAATTGCGTAGGCGCAGCTTTGCATCAAAAAACTAACGATAAATTAGAACCCTTAGGATTTTACTCAAAAAAATTGACGGAGACTCAAACTAGATATAGCACATATGACAGATAATTATTAGCTATTTATTTATCAATATAACATTTTAGATATATGGTAAAAGGTAGAGAACTAACCGTACTAACCGATCATAAACCATTAACATACGCACTAACAAAAAAAAAGTCTCACCATCAGATTCACCTAGACGATTGAGACAATTCGATTTTATTTCAAAATTTTCTGACAAAATTCAATATATAGAAGGTGATAAAAATATAGTAGCTGACGCTTTATCTAGGATAGAGGCAATAACAATACCTTCTCTATTAAACTATGAAAATTTGGCCGAGGCACAAAAAAAAGATAAAGAATTACAAAGTCTCATTAAACAAAAAAGTGATCAATTTAAATTAATTACTCTGATATCCAAATAACTTGCGAAATATCAACTGATAACATTCGCCCTTATTTACCTGTACGGTTTCGGGAACAAATTATTAAAAATATACATGACGTCAGCCACCCCGGAATCGCGGCAACAAGGCGATTGCTTAACTCAAGGTATTTTTGGAGCAATATGAATAGTGATATAAAAAAATATGTCCAAAGTTGCATTCCTTGTCAAAAAAGTAAAATACAACGTCACACATTTACACCGATAGGCGAATTTGATGGTTCGTCACGTTTCGAACATGTACATATAGATATCATAGGTCCGTTACCATATTCCGATGATTAAAGATATTGCGTAACCATGATAGATAGAGTAACAAGGTGGCCTGAAGTAATACCCACGAAAGATATTACAGCTGAAACAGTTGCTAAAGTTTTAATAGAAAACTGGATAGCTCGTTTCGGTTGTCCAAAACGGATAACTTCAGATCAAGGTCGTCAATTCGAGTCCGACTTATACACACAATTATTAAAACGACTCGGCATCGAACGCGTTCGTACAACCGCATACAATACAAAAGCGAACGGTATGATTGAACGACTACATCGCACTTTAAAAGCAGCTATCATGGCAAAATGTATGGATAACACACAATGGGTACAGCAATTACCGTTAGTTCTACTAGGCTTACGTACAGCTATCAAATTAGACCTAGGCTATAGCCCCTCAGAATTTTTATACGGAACTAGTCTTAGACTGCCAGGTGATTTATTCATAACTGAATATAAAACATCGGTTAATACACGTGAATACATACGTAATTTAGCCCAATCACTTTGAAAATTACAAGGAGCCTCAGAATCAACTTCTCACAACAAAAGCGATAAAATATTTATTCATAACAACTTATATTCATGTTCACACGTCTTCTTAAGAAACGAAACTATAAAGCATTGATTCCACCTTATGAAAGACCCTTTAAAGTCATGTCACGTCACTCAAAATATTTTAAGATCGATTACAACGGCAAACACTTGACTGTGTCACTTGATCGACTCAAACCAGCTTATCTTTTAATAACTGATGAAATGTCGGTCCCATGCCATAGTCACACCACGGAACCATTAAATATCTAATCACCGAATGCTGTAACAACGAAACCACTTAATACGCCACAGCCTGTGCTTACACGATCGGGTCGCGCAGTTAAGAAAACTGCGAGATTCGACTTATAGAAAGAAGCATCACTACCAACGTCACAATCCTTCTGGAGAGTCTGCAAAATCGAGTCTTAGCTACAGTTAAGTGACCAGCTTATCGAATTAGCAGTATTGCAACATATTTCTACATTTTAACCAATTTATTAAATACGCCAAAGTGTCAGTGCAAAAAACAAAGTGAACTGTATAATTAATGAACTTCAACTATAATATATATATATATATATATATATATATATATTATATAAAGTGTAATTTTAATTTTTTATGCTCAACATAGGTTTTTAATTGAAATTTATTTTTACAAATACAAATTTAGTTCTGGAAAATTAATTAGTTTTACTTTATATCGAATCATATTATTATTGTCCCATAAGAGAGACGAATATTGTACACAAGTTATACCTTTGTTCTAAAAATAGACTTCCATAGCAACTCATCGTAACAAGTGCAATGTAGACTTCACGCTAGTAGTAAAGTGATAAGTATGTAACAAGTTGCGTTTCTTTTATTTTGTATGATTATCAATTAGTTCTTTTACGACGTAGTTTTTTAAATATTTTTTGTTCAAATTATTTTTATGTAAAATCATGTTTCTTTTTTTGTTTTTGCTATTTAATTCCT